TGGAACAAAAAACTAACATCTGGAACACGTTCGCCCCCCCCCAACCCGAAGTTCGGGTCTTCGGGTTGGGTTGGGGTGGTCTGGGAGGTAGTCTGTGTGCATGCCTGCAGAAGGAGGACGTCGTCCCCCTCTCATGATTCTTCCTTCCCACGCGCGCGCCGTCAGCGACGAGCACGAGGCAGCCGTCCTCCCCCATCGTCCTCCTGATTTTGCTGCGTCTCCCTCTCCCCGTCGTCCTCTCCACCTCCCTCCTGCTTCTCCTCCTCCTCCCCGTCGTCGTCGTCGTCCTCCCAAGACATCCTGCGCTTCGGTTCGTTCCATGCGTGGGCTTCTGGACCTAACGTCCCCTCCACAGGGCAGGTTTTTCATCCTGAGCAGTTTCTTGATTGTCCCGAGGCCCGCACCTGGCCTCCAGAGGCCAAATCTTGCCGACACGATGTTTGGGAGGCGCCCGATATCTGGGCTCTTTGGGTATAAGGTCTGGGGACCTTCGAGTGGCTGGATGATGCATTTCTCTCAGGCGTTTTCGTTACAATGTTGGTTGGTCTTCGTCTTTATCAGCGGCGGGACGTTCTGGTCTCGTTTCATGCTCGTTTCAGTTTCGTTCCGGCTTAGTTCCAGTTTCGTGTCGTTTTCGAAGCAAGTTCGGTTCAGCCAGGGTGATATTGAAACGAAAATCAATAGTGCGTGCGTCATTGAAGGGCACCGTGACCTTCCGTCTAAGTTCGGCGGCGAGCCCGGGGGTAAGTTAGAGGGGCGGGCCTTCTCAGAAGGCTCGGAAGTCCTCCAGCATTCGGAGAAATGTCCCGAGCCTTCACCGAAGAGACCAGAGATTGCTCGGAAAGCGCCGGGGGCTTCTGAGCAGCACCGCCGCCTTCCGAGGAGGCCTTCTCCCCCTCTCTCTTCCCCCCCCCCTCTCCTCCCTCGCTCGCCGCCGACTCTGTGTTTTTTGGTTCACAACTCGGGTCTCCGGCGGCCGTTCATGGCGATCTGGGCACCCCAGGAAGGTCATCGGCGAGGCGCAGCCGTTGGAAAGCATCCCGAGGCCCGAAGACCGCCGAGAACCGACGAACACCTCAGAAAGACCTCGAAGCTCGAACCTTGCTCGCCGCCGAGAGGTCCTCCTCGCGCCCTTGCGCAGGTGGCTGGCGTGACCGCCGTTGGGCTTGCGGCGTTCGCCGCGGTCAGCAGCATGCGACAGGACGCCAACGCCGCCGAGGCGGTACGGGGCAGGGGCCCACGAGGAGCAGCAAGACGGCTCCTCCTCCTCCTCCTCCTTTTCCTCCTCCTCCTCCTCCTCGACCTCCTCCCTCCTCCCTCCTTCCTCCTTCCTTCTCCTCCTCCCTCATCCCTCCTCCCTCCTCCTCCCTCCTCCCTCCTCCCTCCTACGATGCCCCTCTTTCCTCCGAACCTGCCCCCCTCTCCCCCGCCCGAAGAGGACCCCCCAGGAGGCCCCGATGAGTGGAGACAGATCTTGTTTTTTGTTTTATTGCCGGCGAGAGACGGGGGGGAAGTGAAAGGGAGAAGGCCTTCTCCGAAGGCGGCGGGCGACGATGCTGATGCTGATGCTGATGCTGATGCTGCTGCTGCTGCTGCTGCTGATGATGATGATGATGTGGATGATGACAAATATGAGATTGATGATGATGAGGATGATGATGCTGATGATGATGATGATGATGGTGGTGGTGGTGATGATAATGATGATGATGGTGATGATGATGATGATGAGGAGGAGGAGGAGGAGTAGGAGGAGGAGGAGGAGGATGATGATGCTGATGATGGTGATGATGATGATGAGGATGATGATGATGATGATGATGAGGATGAGGATGAGGATGAGGATGATGGAGGAGGAGGGGGAGGGGGAGGAGGATCGGGATGGGGGAGAAAAGCGGAGGAAGGAGCTCGGAGCGCTGTCTTTTTTTGAAAACAATAACGAGGACCCAATACCATTGGATGGTTGGGAAAAACAGAGCGCCCTACTCTCACAGCAGAAGACGAAGAGAGTGACCTCGGCCGACGAGGCTCGCGAGGGAGTAGAGAAGAAGCCTTTGACCACCATGGGCTAGACCGCGTGCGGACTGGACATTCCTTGTGCTATGTGTTGCCTGCAAAGCGGCAGGCGACATGGCCAATTTGACCACACTCCTGACTAGCGAAGCTTCCCGGCAGCATTTCGTCCGCACAGCGAAGTTGTCAACGTAGCGTAGCGTAGCCCGTTTGCAGTGTAGTTATTGCTGATGTTTCCTATCCTGTGTCCTACGCACCTCCGGATGCATGACTTGTTGCTTGCTTGCACTCGGCTCCAAGTCGGTCCCCAGACCCCTCCCAGGGCCCACCCTGGACAGTGACCGCGCCCCGCCGCGGGCGGCGACGCGAACCCCCCCAGAGCCGCTCAGAACCTGCCAAGAACGACCACGTCGTCGTCGTCGTCGTCGTCGTCGTCGTCGTCGTCGCCGTCGTCGTCGTTTCGGAGCACACTCGGCGCCGATTCCCTCGAGGACCCCACAGGGCTCGGAGGCCGCAGATGGCTGGACGTGCGCCCCCAAGCCTCGACCCTCGATCCCCCATAAATCGACCGACGACTACGACGACCGACGACGACGACGACGACGACGACCACGACGACGACGACGACGATCAGGAGGACGACGACGACGACGACGACGACGACGACGACGACGACGAGCACGCCCCCTGCGAGGAGCAGCAGCCTGACCCCGCCGACGCGGGCGCCCCCGCGGCACCGGCGGCGCCCTCTCCGGCGCCCGCGGCGGCACCGGCGGCACCCTCGGCGGCGGCCGCGGCCGCTGCGGCGCCGCCGCGGGGCACCGGCGCTCTGGCGGACTTCAAGGAGCACAGCACAGTGCCGCTTTTAATGCATGCTCCGCGTGCGGGTCATGTGTTCAAAATGCAGGGATTTGGTATTAAGAGCAACGATGAGTTCATGCATAAATTCGTTCATACATTCATCATGTATTAAAATCTTCGTTTTGTTTTAGCATCCTATGTATCAAAGACTGCCCTGTAAGGATGGACGACCCTCCCAAGTGTACTCATTGTTCACGTCTTATTCTTCAAAAGTTCTTTGGCTTTTTGGGGGGCCAAGATCCTGTCATTTCTGATTGTTCTATCCTGGGCCTCTTCCTGGCCACTAATTAGGGGGCCTGGAACAGCTAGAAACGCGCACGATTAGAAATGAACGACGTGTACCCTTTTGCATCCTGGCCTCGGTCCACTATTGGCCACTTTCGTTGGCCGCGCCCCGCTTGAGAAGCGTCGGAATCAGCGTCCAAGTTCCCGTGCATCCTTATCGCGCATCCTTATGCTACGGGCCGACTGTAGGAGGTCAGAGGGGGAAACGGGTCCTGAGGGAAACGGGTCCTGAGGATTTTCCCGTGTCAGAAGACGATTCAGGATGAAGATCTCGTCCTGGGGGAAGGCCCCTTGGTCCTGGACCGGGTTCCGTTCCCCCGTGGTGAAGGAGGTCAGATGAGGAAGAGGTAATTTTTTCAGAGGGGGACAAGGGGGTACCCATACTGCTGCCCTTGCCTCGTTTGCGCCTTCTTGGGCATCCTGGGCGGCCCTCGCCGCTGCAGCTGGATACGCCCCGAAATCCTGGTCAGAGCGCAACCCGGGAGAGGTCCGGGGAGCAGCGGCATCGGTACCTCTCGGTTTCCCCCCATGCTTTGGCAGCAGCTCGCGGGAGCCCTGTTTGTCCTCGGAGTCCCGCCCCTCCAGTGCATTGGCGTGCGCTAGCGCCTCCTGGCGATCGGTGGGAAAGCGCCGATGCAGCGTCGGCGAGCGTCGATGTCGCATCGACGTGGCGTCGAGTGGCGTCGAGCAAGATGGCATGGGAGGTTCCCAGAAGCTGCCACAGAACGATGCCGCTACCTCGGGAATCGACGTTCGGTCCATACGGTTGCTGCTGCCCCCCCCCCACTCTGGCCGCCAGGGTGGGGGGGCAGGGTATGTATAAGAAATCTGGCTCCCAGAGGCTGGATTTTTGTCTATGCCCTCGCTCTTCAGGCGGGGCCAGGAAGAGGATGAATCCGTTCCAGAGCGTTCCGGAACGCTCTCAGAGCGTTCCGGAACGCTCTGAGAAGGCCGCGGCGCCCGAGACATCCTCAAGAGCGGCTAAAACTCAGAGATTCTCGGTCTCTCCTCACCCGATGTTATCCTTGTCCTGACTTAATCTTGCTTTTCTCCCTCGCAGAGTTCTGGCGTGAACAGGGGCATGTCGAAGATGTCGATTGCCTACTGCCCTCGAACCTCGAAGAAAGAACAGCGGCATAACTTATAACCATAACCTTGCTCAGCTCCGCGCGGAGTTCTTGGATTTGCTCTGGTCAATCCCCTTGGCTGCGCCTGTGGCGTCGCGCCAGGGAGAGCGGGGTCCAGCGCCGATCCAAGACATCCGCGCGGAGCTTCGAGAGTTAATGTCTATGTAGTTCCCCCCCCACACATCCTAAGTTTGGTCATTGTTTTGTTTTCGGACGCCCCGCGCTGTCCTCCTCCAGCTCTCTCTTCTTCGTTCCACACTAATCACCATCACCATCACCAACATCATCGCTATTACCATCGCCACTATCATCCCATCACCGCCACAATCATTATCTTTACTCTCTGGAAACTCCGTGCAGTCCTCACACCTCACCTCACACTCTCCTCTCTTCTTCATCAACTCATCGTCGCTAGAACTCCATTCCCAGTCCTGGAATACTGAATTGGAAGGAAGTCTCAGGCGGGAGCCCCCTCCCTATGGGCCACCCACTTCATGCTACGAATCCGAGGCGGCCATCGGTCAACCCTTTAAAGCCAACGGTTCTATGATCATCGAGTCGCCAGAACTTCATTCCCAGTCTTGACTGTGATCGAGTTCTGAGGAAGTCTCACGCGGGAACCTCATCCCGGGGGGGCCATCATTTCATGTTATTAATCCGAGGAGGCTATCTGCAAACCCTGTAATTAAGCAGGAACAAAGGTTTCATGATCATCGAGTCGCCAGAACTTCATTCCTAGTCCCAGCTAAATTCGAAATCGGAGGAAGTCTCAGGCGGGTTCCCCCCTATGGGCCCCCACTTCACGTTACTGATCCGCGGCGACCATCGGCAAACCCTGTAGAACACCCATGTTTTGTGAACGCCGAGTCGCCAGCGCTTCACTCCCAGTAGTGATTTCGAGTGTTCGTAGCCAGCGGTCGGCCACCTCGTGCCCTCCGAGTTCCCAGAACTCCACTCATGGAATTGACGTCGAATGTCGAGAATATATCGTGAACCACTCTGGGACGTTCGTGCTCCCAGAATTCAGCTCCTGATACTTAGCATGATGTGTTCGCATCATGGCAACCCTGACAGCCTGGCACCACTGGTAGTTCTGAAATCCCTGGGATCCTGGTATCCTTGATTTTGCGAAGGCCTTACGGCCGGTGTCGCCGACCCAGACTTGCGACGACGACGACGACGACGACGACGTGGATGACGACGACGACGACGACGACGACGACGACGGCGATGGCGTCGACGACCTCGACGACGACGACGACAACGACGAGCGCTCTCGGGGCCTCTTGGGGTAGTTAGGGGGCCTCTCGGGAGGCTGTTGGGGACCGCTTGACACCACTGGTAGGCCTGATATCCCTGGCATCCTGGCATTCTTGGTACTCTGGCACTTTGTGGGCCCTGGAAATGACAGGGTCGTTGTTGCACCGTTTCCGAAAAAGTGTCTCTTGAAAATGGAAGCGGCAAAACAAAGGCAACTGCAAACGGCAAACAAAAACGGCTCCAAGATTGGAACCGGAGCTGGAACCAGGGAAAAAACAAATGGCGACGGAACCGGTAAAAAAACCGTGTCGGAACCGGCAACAATTCGGCAAAGCGGGACCGTTGGAGGTTGATAGACCTCCTACCTTGACACGTCGATTAGAAAATTGGCCGCTTTCGGTTCGCGAGAGGGCGTCGCGGCCGTCATTTTTGCGGGTCCAGGTCCGTCGGATTCGGTCCTAGGCCCTTTTCACCAAAGAGTGGTTTATCAAAGAGAGGTTTGTCCACCGCCGAAACTGGTAGAAAAACGGGGCCTGTCGCTTCCAAGGCCCACTGTTGGGTCGGGCCTGTCCCTCTACAGGAGGAATACTCCAAAGTGGTCCCAAAAATGAGAAGGGGACGACTTTTGGACTAGTTTTGACAATTTTTTGGTGTGTGTGTGTGTGTTTGTGTGTGTTTGTGCGGGTGTTAGTGTGTGTGTGTGTGTGTGTGTGTGTGTGTTTGACTTTGTACAGTGCTTCCTCCAAAGTAAAGTCACCCTGCAGGGGGACAGGCCCGAGCCCAGCCCACGGAGCCCTCGGCAGCCCCAGCGCCCAGGCGCGGGCCCCCCGGGCAGGGCCGGCAGAGTCGCACGGCCACTAGGTCGGGCACGTCCTCCCACAGGCGGACCTCGGACGAAGCAGAAACAATAAAATAGCCCCAAAGTCGGCTGCACGTAGTAAGTGACAGGCAAAGTCGAAAATAGCCCCAAAATCGGCAAACATCGAAAAGAGCCCCAACAGTAACTGCATAAATAATTGCCCCCAAAATATGCAAAATCGGAGCATAAATAATAGCCCCAGTACATAAGTAGGAGTGACCCTTCGCTGGAGGGACCTTTGGTGCGGGCTCATCGGGGCCCCCCCGATCGCTGAGCGCGATGCGACAGCAGCGGCCTGCGCGCTTGGGGTTGGCCTCCCCGCGCCCCCCTAAGAGCCGCGCAGCAAAGGTCGCTCTTATCCAGGGTCACTCTTGCGCGTAGCCGACAGAAAAGCTCAAACGTGGTCAAATAATAATCAAAACATCGTCCCCAGATTATTGCGAAGGCCTTACGGCCGGTGCCGCCGACCCTGGAGGGCGACCCATGCGTTCTCGTATGTGGCGGGGGGGGCCTCTTGGGGCTTCCTGGGTGGCCTCTTGGGGGGGGGTCTGTTGGGCGCGGCTCGGGCGTGGCTCGGGCGCGGCTCGGGCGCGGTCCGAGCGCGGCTCGGGCGCGGCTCGGGCGCGGCTCGGCGGCGGCTCGGGCGGCTCGGGCGCGGCCCCGAAACAATAAAGAATCCCTACGTGCAGTACTTGCGGGGGGGGCGTCGTATCTGAGTGGCGCCCCCCCCCCGGGACCCCCCCCGGGACCCCCCCGCTACCCCCTCCCGGCGGGGGAGGGATCAAAGGGAAGGGGCTTCCCTTCGACTCAAATACGACGTTGCTGAAGTTCATTTGGGCTGGCGCGCTTGAGCAGGGGCCCCTGCTGGGAAAGAGGACGGGAGTGGCGACGGGCCCACGGAAAGGGAGGCGCAAGGAAGGGGGACGACAGAGACGACGACCAACGAACAACGGGGATGACGTCTCGAACGGAAAAGCCCCTCACACACGCCGACAGGGTCGGCGGATTTTTTGACTGCTTGTGAACATTCCTCCTGTAGAGGGACATGCCCGACTCAAGTCTACGACCTGTGGTACCTGTGTAGAAGAAGAGCAAACCATACGAACATAAACTGTTGGCGCTCCGCCCGGATTTCTTGGGTCCGCGCCTTGGCCCCCCCGGCGGCGCCTCCGGCAACGCCCTTGGCGCGCTCCGCCCGCAAGGGAGGGGGATCCAGGGCGGATCGAAGAAATCCGCGCGGAGCTCCAAAAGTTTCTGTTTATGGCGTTTTTTTTTTCTACTGATGGTGATTCTGACACCCTCCTCCGTGCACCTATTTTGGCTCAAGATGGAAAAGAGATATCTTGTCCATCGGCATATTATCTCATCATGGTAGCGTGAGCTGGCCACTCACTGCTGCGACCCACCAGGGCCTCGGCGCGCCCGCGGGCGCCACGGCGAGCTGGCCAGAGG